CGTGCGCGCGCATCGTAAAAATTTACTCTCATCATTTTCCCTTAACGCGCCAAAAGAAGTATAACTTCAAAAATTCTAATAAATAATTTATTACTTTAGGCACATTGACTTTATAAAACAGCAAACGTGCAGGTGGCTAATCTGACGACAATTTTTAAATTAGTTTTAATTTTCTTTTTATTAATTTTTATTATTACTATGTACTTAGGTTAATAAGAAAATAGTAAATACTGCATATTTGATTGTTATGTTTAACCTAACCTTATATAATGGAAAATTTTATACTGTATATATAGCATTATATATAATGAAGTCAACTTAAATAAATAAATAATCGTCGTGATAGAAAATGATTACTAACTAATGATGTAACCAAGTTTCAAGGCAGACGAACATACAAACAACAACCAATAGCATTTATTCTACTGCATTTACATCAAAAACATTTTAATACGTAAGGCTTTTAAGGAAGGCACTCGACCTCGACATATCCGGCGTTAACGAAATCGTTTTGAGGACGCAATTTTTTCCTCAAATCCGAAAAGGAAAATCGAATCGGTTCAAGGAGACTGTCATCGATCGTTGCGCAAGAGCACAAAAACTTTAAGATTAATTACTTCATTAAAACTTTGTATATTACCGAAAACACGCTCTGCTTGACTGAAGCTCACGAACTTTCCTCAAAATAAAAATGTTTATTATGGAATATAAGATACAGGTATCACTTATTCCACGTCATTAAATTTATCGGTAGACATCCCTACTCATCGGCAAAGAAGACAGAGGGTGTAGGCCGAGAGAAAAAGACGGCGTTAAAAACTCTCGGTACTCTTTTAAAATATCAAATCATTATACAAAATGACTATGGCAAACATAGAAGTAACCAGAAAGGAGGGAGATACGGTCCGTTCTTTATTTGTATTCAATTACAGAACTGAACGGAAACCTCGCAGTCCAGTTTCCGGAAGCAGCACCAGCCCTGCGATTCTGTAACTCACTTTTCGAACTCACACAGCGGTTTTCGCATCGGCGGTCGCTCTCAAATCAGTCGTGAAGCAGTCATTTTATGATTTGGCATTCTGAAAAGGTGGGAGCTTGTAGTTTATTGTTTATCAGATAGCCAAATCATAAAATGACTGCTTCACGACTGATTTGAGAGCGACCGCCGATGCGAAAACCGCTGTGTGAGTTCGAAAAGTGAGTTACAGAATCGCAGGGCTGGTGCTGCTGGTATACGTACAGTTGTCAGAGTTTTCTTTTACTACCATAAGTCGTAAACTCTCAATCAAAAGGAGTCATAAAGTATAGTCAGAAAGTCAGAGGGACTACAGATTAAATGACATCATCTCTGTTCACGAGTAAAACTGTTATTTCTGTGTTGATTTATTTACAAAATAAGACTAGTACAGTGCTTTGTTTCACGTTCCTCACTTCAACAAACTATGCAGCCTTGCGATTCTGTAACTCACTTTTCGAACTCACACAGCGGTTTTCACTTATCGCGGCAAATCATAAAATGACTCCTTCACGACTGATTTGAGCGCGACCGCCTCTGCAAAAACCGCTGTGCGAGTTCGAAAAGTGAGTTACAGAATCGCAGGGCTGATCCTTGCAATGATCACGAAACAGATACAATAATCTATGGCCCAGACCGAAAGAGGTTGTAGCGCCACTGATTGAGTATATACCGTAGTATAACCAAAAATCCTGCCTTCTTGCCTTTTTCAATTACTTATCTATTAAGAAAAAACATTATCAAGAAACAGATACAAAATCCAACCCATGTCTATGCCATTGATTTTAGGTGTTAGAAAACCATCGTTGAGCATGTTTTAAACACAAAAAAGGGTGCGTGTACTTATGTACGCGCGTAAGAAGTTATACTTCTTTGGCTTTCTTTATTCTAATAAAATATTAAATATTTAATAATAAATATTTAACTTTAATAATTTAATAATATTCAACATTTAGTATATTATTCAATTATTAATTAATATTAATAATAATAATTATTATTATTTATTATATTATTCATTCAATTTAATAACTAGGTATGTTTCATAACCTTTTAACTAAGTAACAATGGGTCTTTGTGAAAAAGCATTGCTAAATTTCTTTGAAAAAATAATTAAAACTCCTTTATTTGTTTAAAAGGTAAATGTCATTATGGTCATTCAAAATTCTTGGCATAGCTGCTCACTTCACGCATATTCTATTTCTTTTTACTTGTAGATTGTCTTATTCCCATCTCGCTCGCGCACGTTATAATCACACTGACAACTTTGTGTCTCAGGTGCGCGCGCATCGTAAAATTTCACTCTCATCAATTTTTCATAACGCGCCTAAAGAAGTATAACTTCAAAAACTTCACAACCTTCGATCACCAAACACAAAAAATGTCTACTATACGGGACTTTAAACAAATTATAATTTTTGTAAAACCTTTTTGTATGTATTGCGTTAGAATTGCCAGAGGTAACACTATCGGTTTTACGACACCCATTTTATTGCCTGACCGTCTGTACCCTATATAAACTACGAGACGTTATTACTACGTATTGTAGTTTCTAACGTGAGTTAAGTTCATGGCGGTGGTGGTAGATATGGTCAGATATATGTTAAATGAAACACTTTGTTTGAACTTGGTAACAACTGATTTTAGCGGTTAAAACATGAGCTTATAACTAAGATAACATTAGGGGTAGTGAGGATGCAGAGCTGAATTAACAAAAAACTAACTTGAGTTGAAGAGATTTTAAATCTCAGTGACACTTATGTTATTGGACACTATCGGAAACAAGTTTGGTAGAAAATAAAGGGCTTATTCTGGCTCCAAGTGTGCGATGATTGCTTAGTTTTCGCTTCTAAACTATATATGTAACTTAAGTAATGTTAGGTTACATAACTTAACTAGTGTTAAATGATTTTATATGCGTTATCAAAGCAAAGGAAATCGTTGAAGGGCAAGTATTTTTTAGCAACACTTAAAATTACGTAACTGTCTTAGATTTTTAAGAATGATCTTAAAATCTGGAATGAGCATTGTTACTTCAATATTCAGTTTTTGTACCGCGCAAACCCAGAGTGACACCAGCACCACGGACAATTTAAAAAAATATATTGTAAAATAGAATATTATATACCCACACACACCCTGACAAATACCCACACACACCCTCCTAACACTCACTCACACACACGTATATATACTCTCTCCCTCTATCACACACACACATACACACACACACACCACATTTCCTTATTTAAAACGTTAAATTTGTTTGCCTACCCATATATGTATGTACTTTTGTTACCACTCAATATGACTTTGCTGTGGAATGGAAGCCTGGTCATCCATATCACAGGTCCTTACCTAGTTTGGAAACCAGTATCCCAATACCTTCTCAACTGTAAAACTGTTAACGAATTGCATAGGTTAATGGACCTTTTTCATTGTCCGTTGAGTGAACTGGCAAAAGTTATATTATTTGTTAGTGCCTATAGTAGTTAGTTAATTTCTTGTATTTTTTTATTATGTAATTTTGTTATTCCTAATTAATTTCGTATGTTTGTTTTTTTTTTGCCGCTGTAAATTTTATTTACTTATTGTTCACTCTTGAATGTATATATAATAACTCTTTTTCTGTCCATCATGACGCCGAACTGATTTAAAAGTTATATACTAAACCCAATGATATATCATAAATTTATAATCTCTGCAATTATAAAACTGTATTACATTAATATAATTTATGGACGTCTACTTTTACTCAAAACCTTAAAAATATAATATAATAAGTAAAATATATTAAAAGGAGTCCCTTTAGGAAAGGTTGAAGAAGGCCCGAAGATACTGGCAGCGTTCCCTCTTTGAATAGCTAGACTAATTATTTGTCCGAGGTAGCTGCCAGCTCTTCGGTCTCCTGTGATGTCGACCTTTTAGCATTTTCCTTAAAAATCCTTATAGCGGTAATTATTAAATTAGTATAACAGATTTCGAGAACTATATTTAAAGTTAATACAACAAGTGTGGATATTAATTCACATCTTCCTAAAATCTCAGATTTAAATTGTATTTCCCTTTAGATTAGTTTTCCTACCTCTTCTGTGCCATGCCCCATTAACATTTTTAAAATTCTTATGTTCCTTATGTAACATAACTTTAAAAATAAAAAATTGAATTGTTCACTTAACATAAATCATAGATTTTAGGAATAAATTACTAGATAATTATTAACGAAACAAATTTTTCAAAACAATGATATTTAAATAATTAATAACCAAATTGCCCCCCGTGGCGTGGCCCCCACGTTGGAGAACACTTCTTTATACGAATAACTCATGAAAAATACACACTTTTTAATTGCTATATAATCCTAATCAAAATAAAGCTTCGTGGTTAGAAACTCAACAGTTCGCTAGCTAACCCATACGTGTTCTAACGTGCTAAATCAAAGAGCTATAGCTTAGTGGCAATACGAATCTCACCTTTGAGGTCATGGGTTTGAAGAACAACATGACAGAACGACCTTTATAATACCTTGCTTTCAAAAGTTACATTTATTGCACTTAGCAGTTAGCGGGGCTTGTTTATTTTGAAAAAAAATCATAGTAAGGGGCCGTCTAGTTAATCATAAATTTATAAGTTAAAAATGCTTCCTTCGTTATGTATTTTCACTCCTTACAGTTACAACGTTCTCAATACGAGAAGTGGCAATAAATTATTAATAAAAAATTAATAATAAGTGTCTCAAATCAATTAATTTATCATACATAATACATATCTTTAATTAAATTAAAGTCATAAATGAAAATTGCGAAACATAATCCTAAGTGATTTTTGCAATAACTTGAATCTTTTAATAACATTTAATATTGCTTTAACATAGTAAGCTTATCTGAGCTTTTTCGTACACATTTTGTCAACTTTTTAATATTCCATTTCTATTACAAATTTATTCAACTCACACAGAAATCAACCGATCATTCATAGGTGGAAGATGCTGGAGTCCAGCCGAGCGGCAGGTCAGCCGAGTGCCACCATCTGTGCAGGCGCAACCCTGGGGCAATGGGCCAGGGCAGGCGCCCGCGGCCGCCAGAAAAGCCAGCACCGCGAACGTTACACCCTCACGCATCTTAACCGATACCAGAACAACACATCATCACACACAAACACTGAATCCACGTTTAAGCACTTCATTCATCGCGAGACAACAAAACGCAGCCGTTATCGACCGGGCGTCCGCTCTCTCTGAATTACGAAAACACTCTGAGTGGCTGGCGGTCGCCAGAATGTCTCGACGGATACGCCGGATACGCCGGATCTGACGTACGCATTACGATCCCGCCATTCATAATGTCCTTTTTAACACTGCCTAATTGCATTCTTTTGTTTCTGTTGAATTGTGTTTACGCTGACGAAAACAGAAGATAATAATTTAGTTGAAGCCCTGGAATTAAAGTGATTGTTGAGCAGTGTTGGCCTAGTGGCTTCAGCGTGCGACTCTCATCCCTGAGGTCGTAGGTACGATCCCCGGCTGTGCACCAATAGATTATCTTTTTATGTGCGCATTTAACATTAGCTCAAACAGTGAAGGAAAACATCGTGAGGAAACCGACATGTCTTAGACCCAAAAATTCGACGGCGTGCAGGCATTAGAGGTTTATCACCTACTTGCCTATTAGATTTAAAAATCATCATGAAACACATTCAGAAATCTGAGGCCAAGAGCTAAAGAGGTTGTAGCGCCACTGATTTATTTTATAATAATAACAAATCATAATAGTTATTCAATTATTGTCTATTAGTAGGAAATTAAAGTTTTTTCGTATATATTTAAACGCCCGTTGCCGTATGTAACCAGTTTTTTATATGTATTATTGAGGTAACGAAGTGTAAATAAATAAATATATATACTGAGTGAATTCAAAAATCAATATATATATTATATTTCAAAAATAAAGTTCCCTTTTGCTCGAGGTTTCTCATCGGGATTCAAAACTAGGAGTAATCTACAATGCTTAGGGCCTAGGCCTCATTTTTTTAAATTTTCCTGACTTCAATTGTTCGAGACTTTCGATTTTTTAAAATAAATATAATAACTTGTAAGATAACAAAGTAACTAATGAAAGAGTATTTACAATTTTTTTTTAAAGACAATTCACACCAATTGACCTAGTCCCATGCTAAGCTGGTGAAGCTTGTGTTATGGGTACTAGGTAACGGATATACATACATATTATACATATAAATACATATTTAAACACCCAAGACCTAAGCACAACACCAAATGCTCATCACATCGATGTTCGTCTCAGCCGGGGATCGAACCCGGGATCCATGGATTCGCAGTCAGGGGTACTAACCACTAGACCAATGAGTCGTCAAACAGACACTACATAATAATAATTATTATTATTTTTACGTTGCTTATTTAATGTAGTATTTAGATATGATATAGAAATGTAACACTTGTAATCGAAATGTAACTCACTTTCATAATAATTAAAAAATAAACATACAAAAATAAGATTATTAACTTTTTTTAATTATTACATTCTCTATATTATTACACTATTTTTTAATTTAATTGTAATCAAAAAAAAATAGCCTTTATTCGAGTACTACACTGAAGTGTACTTGAGTACATTCAAGTACACTAGCTCCACGTCATTATGTTTTACACTAGTACTCGACTCACTAGTCCCGCTATCCCTTTTACTCCATCTTCCCAAGTTTCTGTTGGGCCACCTCTCCTTCTTTCCACTGGGCCATTCCAAGTAAGGGTCTTCTTCACCCATCTGCCATCACAAAAGCGGGAAATGTGACCGGCCCATTTCCACTTTAACTCTTTTGTATGTGTTACGACGTCTTTCATGTTTGTACGGCTTCGTATCACACCGTTTTTAACTTCTTTAAGCTTCAATCGAAGAATCATACGCTCCATTTTAATGGTATTATATGCAAATGGATTTGTGGCACCAACTTCTAAAAATCATACTTTTATTTAACCCGTAAATAAAGATATTAATTATCGTGTAATACATTTAATTCTTTTGATAATACAATAGGCGTTGTATTATCAAAAGAAATACGTCGGTGTTTTTATTTATCCTTTGTTAAACATAGCTATGAGAGTCAAAGAACTGTATTAATGTGATGTGGTGATAAAATAATATAAGATTTATATGTAAAATTCTACCTTTTGATAATGTAAGACAAATTTGCACGCCATTATGTGTTCTAAGACAGCTAAGGAAACGTCTTTTGACACTTTGTTACCAACGCATCACAAAGTCTGAAGTATTTCCGAACCAATTCGACTTAGGGTCCTTCAAGAAAAGAGCGTACCAATTCTTAAAAGGCCGGCAACGCACTCGCGAGCCCTTTGGCATTGAGAGTGTCCATGGGCGGCGGTATCACTGAACATCAGGTGAGCCTCCTGCCCGTTTGCCGCCCGCTCTATTTAAAAAAAAAAGTCTAGAAAAACTTATCGTGACTGGCAGAGATGAGAGCACCAGACTTCGAGGCCGATCCCCTACTCGCTGGACCGATTAAGTAAAGGCCATTTCGGGTCTCATTATCACCCCGGCGCAGAGGCTTGCCCAAGACAGAGAGTGGAGGAAGTAGTGCGACGCCACTAGCACGATCTTCAGAAATGAAGAGTGAAGAAGATGTGTGGCGAATATGCAAGATTTAGATTGCCACCATAATATTTTTGTACCATATTCTTGACAAAAATTATTATTATTATTATAATAAATAAATAATAATAATAAAGCCTTTAATCAGATAGAAAATAATAACATAATTTTAAACTTAAACTTAACACTAGTGAGTCGGTGACACCGACAACCCATCTGTTTGCCCAACTTTGGCAAAGGCCTCCTCCATTTCTCTCCACTCTGCTCTGTTCTGAGCTTTCCTGGTCCAAATTTTCCCAGTTACGGATTTTATTTCGTCTTCCCATCTTCGAAACTGTCTACCTCGTTTTCTTTTATTATTTCTTGGGTACCAATATATGATCTTTTTGTTCCACTTTTCTATACCTCTTATTACGTGACCAGCCCATTTCCATTTCAATCTTCGTATCCTCGTTGTGACGTCTTCAATCTTCGTGTGGTTTCGTATGATTTTATTATTGATTCTGTCGGACTTCCTGATATTTAGCATGCTTCTTTCCATCGCATTATTATTATACAAGAGAGCAAAAAAAAACAAAAGTTATAATATCGATATAAAAAAATTAACCGCAAAATATACGTATATTGGTAAGCACAAAACTGAAGGACGGCTGGACCAAATCGAGTATTTTATTAATTCCTTAAACTCTAAAGAAGGTTTCTATGGAAAGAAAAATTGGAAAAAGGGCTAAGTAAAAAATCATATTCATGGTGAAACAAAGTTCGCGATACTTAATCATAAAATTAAAACAATAGATACTGCCTTCGTCGTGTACTACGTTCTCAAGACGAGAATTTCAAATAACACCACTATTTTTAATCGATTTTTTTTTAAATTTATTTATTATCCGGATACAAAGTCCATTGGCACATTTTTTTTTTAAATTTATTTATTATCCGGATACAAAGTCCATTGGCACATTTTTTTTTAAATTTATTTATTATCCGGATACAAAGTCCATTGGCACATTTTTTTTTATCGACTGCTACTTGAATTGCCAGCCCTGTGTCCATGTTTCGTTTGATTTATTCACATTTCATCACAAAGCTGTTTGCAATGATAACGATGAATGCTATTCATATCAATGTTTTTGCTTATAAATAGAATTAATTTGCTTCAAGCTATCTAAATATAGTTCACTGATTACAATTACCCACGGAATACAAGAGAAAAAAATACTATATTCATGGAATATAGTATTTTTTAAAGGCAAGGCTTTATAGGGAGAGTGTTTTGACTTTTGACCATAAGTTTTGACAATTATAAGTAACAGCTGTTCTATTATAATTAATATGACATTTGCATGCCAATTTTTTTATAGACCAGGGGGCAAATGGGCAGGAGGCTCATCTGATGTTAAGTGATTCCGGCGCCCATGGACACTCTTAATCCCAGAGGGCTCGAGAATGCGTTGCCGGCCTTTTAGGAATTGGTACGCTCTTTTCTTATAGGACCCTATAATGACAATCCTCAAAGAAGATTTTTATATGGCTGATTCTGATTTATGAATCAATCTGAATGTACCATTTTCGTTCAAATAAACAATTTATTAATTATTATAATAGAATATTATCTTTGAAAATATTTATTATTTTTATTTATATTAATAAGCCCTAGGATGGGGCCTATCCAGAAAATGTCTGCGAAATACGTCACAGACATTTGGGACTCCGGGGTCAATGCCCGGAAACTGAAGTTGACACCCATTTATGTGTTTCTCATTTGACTTATTTTATAAAAGGATCAAACATTTTTTTGTGTATGTGTATATCAGAACTGTTAGTAAGACTTTTCCAATAAATTATTTTTAATTTAACACAAAATCGCTTTACGCTTATACGCACATAATTCATATTTACAGATAATAATAGTTCCCTTTGGAGCCTTTGGAGCTCTTGGGCCGTGGCGTTCAAGTGCACAGGCGCTAATTAAATATTTAAGTTCGCGCCTGACAGCACCGGTGACCCCAAAGCTGGTGCTTTCCACGCTCAACGATGATCGCAATGCAGTGAGGAAATGCTGCCAGCGTTAATGGTACACTGACTGCCACAGGGAACTATTTAAATTTGTTTTAATTTCCTTTTTATTAATTTTAAATTATTATTACTATGTAGGTTAAGAAAATTGTTACTACTGTATATTTGATTGTTATGAAATGACATTTTATATTTTTTTTTTTTTTAAGACAATTCACACCAATTGACCTAGTCCCATGCTAAGCTGGTGAAGCTTGTGTTACGGGTACTAGGCAACGGATATACATACATATTATAGATAGATAGACATATAAATACATATTTAAACGCCCAAGACCTAAGCACAACACCAAATGCTCATCACATCGATGTTCGTCTCAGCCGGGGATCGAACCCGGGACCCATGGATTTGCATGGGTACTAACCACTAGACCAATGAGTCGTCAAATATTTATTATATATATATTTACACATATTATAGGCGCCATTATTATTGCTTTTACACAATTACCAGTGGCGCTACAAACTTTTTAGGTCTGACCTTCAGATTTATGTATCTGTATCATGATCATTTGCATAGGCAAGTATGTGAGCA